CTCTGTCCTTGGGCATACACTATTCATCATCTTCATTAATGATGTGGACATTGGTATCAGAAGTTGACTGGCCAAGTTCGCTGATGACACCAAACTCTGGGGCAAAGCGTCCACACCTGAGGACAGGAGGGTGATCCAGGCTGATCCCGACAGGCTCAGGAAATGGGCGGAAGAGAACCTGATGGTGTTTAACACTGGAAAATGCAAGGTTCTTCACCTTAGGAAGAAAAACCTGCAACATCCTTATAGACTCGGCAGTGCTGTGCTGGCCAGCACTACGGGCGAAAGGGACTTGGAGGTCATGATTGACCACAAGATGAACATAAGCCTTCAATGTGATGCTGCAGCTAGTAAAGCGAGCAAAACTCTGGCTTGCATCCATAGATGCTTCTCAAGCAAATCCCAGGACATCATTCTCCTGTTGTACTCGACCTTGGTGATGCCACAGCTGGAGTACTGCCTTCAGTTTTGGGCTCCACGATTCAAAAAGGAAGTGGAGAAGCTTGAGAGAATGCAGAGAAGAGCCACACACATGATCAAGGGTTGGGAAAACAGACCTTATGACGAGAGACTGAGAGCCATGGGACTCTTCAGCCTGGAAAAGCATAGGTTCAGGGGTGATCTGGTGGCCACCTACAAGTTTATCAGGGGTGCTCACCAGGATCTGGGGGAACGTCTGTTCACCAGAGTGCCCCAAGGGATGGCAAGGTTGAACGGTCACAAAATCCCGCGTGACCTTTTCAGGCTGGACATAAGGAAGAACTTCTTTACTGTCCAAGCCCCCAAGGTCTGGAATAGACTGCTGCCAGAGGTGGTTCAAGCACCTACTTTGAATGCCTTCAAGAGAGAGTTAGATGTTTATCTTGCTGAGATCCTATGATCCCTGCTGACTTCCTGCCCCTGGTACTAGGGGCTGGACTCGATGATCTTCCGAGGTCCCTTCCAGCCCTAATGTCTATGAAATCTATGAAATTCTTAACCAGGGGTGAGCAATTATTTTGGTCAGAGGACCAATTAGGAAATTTTAATGAGCTGTTGGCAGGCTGCATCAGCATCCTCTGCCCCACTCCCCCTCCCTTGCCACAGCTTACCAAAACTATCTAAGCAGCCCTAGAGCACTGCCAGGTGGCTGCAAGTGGGTGGGGAGCAGCATCCAGGAACAGGATAGGCAGTTGGAGCTGGGGATTTGGATTGTGGGACAGTGACAGCGTGGGGTTGACGCCCAGAGCACAACCACGATCTGCTCCCTGCATATCCCTGCCTGCAGAACTGCTGCCTGCTGCAGGGACATACAGGCAGCAGATTAAAGCTCTATCCCAGGCCCTGTGTTGTCACCCCTTCATGATCCTGATCCAGATCCCTAGCCCTGCCTGCCCCTCCTGCTTTCAGATGCGGCTCCCTGCCTACCCACAGCCCATCCTATCTGCTGGCCATGCACCCTGCCTGCACAGGACCTGCTTCCAGCAGTGGGTATGGGACAGACAGGCAGCCGGGCTGGGTCCAGCAGTGGCAGCCAAAAGGAGCCACTGCTGAGGCTACTGGGAAATGGAGTCTGGCCACCCTGCCCCAGCACCCTTGTGCACCCAGGGGTAGTGGGACTGGCCACTGGGATGAAGTTAAACATGCTTTTGAATGGAAGACATTTTTGGTCAGGTCTCAGATCACAGGAAGCCAGGCACAGCATAGTGAAACATAGCACAGAAGGGGGGCTGGGTAAGTTATAATGTACCATAAACACAGTATCAGTGTTTACCCTTTAGTTCTTAGTGTCCAGCTAGTTTATGAATTTTTGTTCCCAATTTTGCCTTTTAAAGGTGTCAGGTAGATTTCCTTTGATTGTAATTTATACAACTCCTGATTTCTTTCCACACAAGGAAGGTGAGTTTGACCCTCTTCCGTTTTGATAGGCCTTGATCTCCCACTAATCACTTTTTTCCTGCTAATTGTATCCCTCTGGGAATTCCTCTCACCCCCTCCCCTCTGCTGTGTTTCACTATGCTATGCCTGGCTTTCAGTGATCTGAGACCTGACAAAGAATGTCTTGCATTTGAAAGCTTGTCTAACTTTATTTCAGCTACATAGTTGCCCAATCAAAAATATCATCCTAATAAAGTCATTTGTGCACTGCTACCTACTCAGCTATTATTGCTCTTAGTTCTGTTTAATGACAGGTCTTCCAAGCATGAAGTTAAATAAAGTGTATTTTTTAAGCTTTCGGTGTACTCTCAAGACACTTTCACAGGTTTTTGTCCTCAACCAAGAGGATTAGATTTTTTTTTAATGGAAGCTGAGCTTATTATGTATTCTCATGTCTTCAGTAGCTGGAAGTTTAAGGGGAAAATACCCATCTTCACATGTATAACAGCCCACATTGTTATTTTGAATGGTAAAATCTCTCCTATTTATGAAATGTTTTTTTCCTGAATCTGAAGGCCACACGCAACTTTAAGTCACTATTGTGTTGAACACTGCATACCAAACTTCTTTACTGAGAGGCCATTTAATATCTCATTTACTTTTTTTCCCTTCCTCATTCTCTTGTGTTAGAGAAGGGTAATGTCAGAGCAGGGTTGTTTGTTTGTAAATGTGCCTATGAAGTTTGTTTAACCAAAATGTTTCTATTGCACTTCTACTTTTCTGGACCTTTTCAAAACCAATTTTGAATTGCTTTAAAGGTCTGCTTCTGGAGCCAATCAAGAATTTGTTGCAATTGAGAAATATATAAAACCCACCTAGGGATAAGTGAATTTTGCTAATCCAGGTACAGCTGTGAAATACTGTAGGTCACCTTGATTTCCGGCATTTTTTTTTGTTTTTTGTTTGTTTGTTTTTAAACCAAAGCTGTATTGGTGCACTTGCCAAATCAACAGTAAATGCTTCGTAGTCATCACATCCTCTGTTGGTATCTCTCTATAGGCAACCTCCGCTTAATGTGGTTTCGCTTAGTGCTATGTCGCTATAGCGCTCATTTAAAATTAATACCTGATTTCACTTAGCACTGAGCCAGGTTTGCTATAGCGCTCAGCAAAGCAGCAGCAGCAAGAAGTGGTGAGTAGCTGCAAGTAGGCCGGCAGGAATGAGCATGGAGCCTGCACTGGTGCTGCAGGGCCAGGGCAGGGCAGCGGCAGGGCAGCAGGAGCAGGGGTCTGGGCTGGCAGTGCCAGAGCAGCTTGTGGACCGAGGAGAAGCAGCAGCAGCAGGGAGCAGGCATGACTGCAGGGCCTCCACCAGTGCCTGGGGCCAGCAGGGATCCAGGGTGGAACGGAAGAAGCGTGGGGCTGGCACGTGGGGCCAGAGAGGCCGGCAGACAGGCAAAGCAGTGGGAAGAAGCAGCAACGCTGAGAACCTGCAGCAAGAAGTGGTGGTAACTAACTGTCTCTATTCCCATTAATTCCTATGGGGAAACAAACGTTATGTGGAATTGTGCTAAGCAAAACCCATTTTTTCCCAGAACCAATTAAGCAGGGGGTACCTGTACTCCTGTTTAAGGTACAAGTGTTTCAGCATGTCCCTTGGTGTGGTTCTTGGCCTGCATCTTAGATTTGTTACTGCTACTGTCAACACACACAGTTTAGAGACTTCCGTGCCATGGAGATATACCCTAATCCATCCTATTCCACTCTACCACAGCTGCACTCGTTTCATTGCTTCCACTCAGCCAAACCCATTTGGTCGTAGCCCATAACACCCTGTTTCAGGTTTCTTTGTAAATAAGACAGGAAGATAGAAAAAGGTTTATCTGGATTCTACTAATTATTTGGCACCGACTTCTCATCACGGTATAGTCAAGGCATAGATCAAATGTGATTGCTCTACTGCAACAAAACAGTTGGAATCCAGTTGGAAACAGGCACTGGAAGAGACAGTTCTACAGCTTCAGGTTTTAGACCCCAGTTGCATGCTTCATACGTCCAACAAGGCTAGATGCTTTTATTTCACAGGAAATGGAATACCGTGTATCCTGGCCCAACAGCACCAAACAATCCCTTTTCCTTCCCCAGAAGGACACACAATGCATCTACTATATCAGCAGTTCTTGACCTTTTGCACCTTGCATCCCACCATTTTGTAAAAAAACACCCTGGTCCCCCGCCCATGATGAAAACAAAACCCCGCTGTTTGAGATATCCGTTGATTCATCCATTTGAAGTGCAAACAACTCTGATTTTTTCAATCAGGCAATGAGTTAAAGTCCCATCTACACACGCTCCACTGGTTGAGAAATCCCAGCCTATATAGCTGCTGGAGGGATCCAAGCTGACCTAGCTTTAAGGTACTTCCCAAAACACAGGGAAGGGGTAAGAGCTGGCCTCCTAGCTAGAAAAACTAGATAGAGACATGCCCCACCGCCAACGCAGCTGCTCCTTTACTCCCAAGTCTTTTCAAGGGATTCAAAGTTGAGACCAATCCATCACTCGAGACTCGACTGCGCCGCCTCTCCCGGCAAACAGCGCCGGCAGGCAGGCTCGCGGCCGATCAAGGATGTGGCGCTCGGCACGGTCACCTTGTAGCCGGATCTGCGTCCCAAGTCCCATTCCTTTTCCGAAAGCGCCAGGAGGACGGAAGAAAACTGACCAAGACCATCAAGCACTTCAGGGAAACGAAGGAGTCATTTCCCGCCAAGCCCTCATTTATTAGGAGCTGGCACCTTCCACGCATGCGCTTCAGTCCTCTCCAGCCCAATGGGCTTTGTATTGGCGCATGCGCACCTTTGTGAACAGAGCAGCTACTGCGCGCGCCCCTTAAACCGTTCCTTCCTAATGGCCTTTGTTTTGGCGCATGCGCGCTTCTTGAGCGGAGCTAGCAGCTACTAAGCATGGGCTGTAAGCTTTTCCAGCCTAATGGACTTTGTATAGGCGCATGCGCACCTGTGACTAGAGCCAGTTACTGCGCATGCGCCTTTATCCTTTCCCTCCCAATGGGCTTTGCTTTGGCGCTGAGGGAGGTGGTAGCTTCTGTGCATGCGCTTACCGAACGGAGGGCGGGGCAGCGAAGGGACTCTCGGGCGGGGGAAAGCTGCGGACTTTTGCCGTGCTTCAGCGCATGCGCAGCGGCGGGTGGCGCTGCTCCGCCTTTACCCGCTCCATGGGACGAGCGCTGTTGTTTTCTCCTTGCAGGAGGGGGCGAGAGCAGGCGGGGGCGGAGGGAAAAGAGGAAGATGCCGGGGAAGCTGAAGGTCAAGATCGTGGCGGGGCGTCATTTGCCAGTGATGGACCGAGCCAGTGACCTGACGGACGCCTTCGTGGAGGTTGGAGGGCAGGGGGAGCCCTGCGGGGGGGGGGTCTCGCGTCACGAGCCCGGCGGCGGCGCGCGGACACCTGCCCTGTCTGCGCGCGCTGTGACGTCAGCGCCTGCCCGTTGTCCCGGCCGGAGCGGCCGTTGGGACCTTGTCCCCCCGCCGCGGGGCAGGACCCAGCCCCGCGTTTGGGAGGGGGAGGGGGCAGCGGGGACAGCTGTTGCAAGCCGCCGCGCTGCGTTGGGGCCCCTTCTTATTGAGGAGCAGCCACGCGGGCCAGCCTCTCATCTCACCCGACTTTTTCATCCTGCCACAGCAAGGGTTCACGGGGACGGGGAGGGGGGGGGCGCTTTGGACCAAGCGCACACTGGGACGGATCCAGACAAGCTCTGAGGGAGCAGGGGGCTGCCATGCCCTAGAGCCTGCCTGCGTCTATCCCAGCCATGCACGTGGTCCCATCAAAGCCCCCCTTCACCCCCCGAGGATTTTTGCTTGTGGCAGGATGAAAAACAGCTGGTGCGGATGACAGGCTGGCCCATGTGGCAACCTCTCAACAAGAAGGGCCCTTAATGTATCCCCAACCCTGTCCCCTGACCTGGGAGAGTTCTTGCTTCTTAGGTGTCGCAGTATCATAGAAAATGAGGGTTGGGTGGGACCTCACAAAGTCATCAAGTGCAGCCTTTCTCAACCCAAAAGTGGGTCGCAAGAATAGATGCAAGGGTGGTGAACAAATTTTAAAAATAGATCAACAGACTTTAAAAATGGGTTCTCCCTTAAAGGAGAAAAACATGGGAAGCCATGGCTTTTTCCCTTGCAGGATGGCAGAGCCCCACACCCTACACACATACCCATGCCCCCACACACTGCGGGCCTGGGGGCAGTGGGTCAGGAGCGAGTGGCTTGGGGTTGGGACTGGCCATCAATCAAAAAAAGTTGAGAACGACTGATCTAGTTTAACCCCCAATCTTCTGGACCGTCATGGCCACTGCATCACCTCAGGATTATCATTTTTAAACGTTATTCAGCATGTAGTGGCTATTTGGGCTTTTTATTGTTTTTTAAAAGCATCTGGAGACATGGGGGGCATTTGTTGTCTTTATTCAGAGCGATGTAGTTCTTCTGTTCCAAAATTGGAGATTTCCAATTGTTGTTTCTGTGAAATGATACAACAACCTAGGGCTCAGGGGTCAGATGTTTCAAAAACCAAAAAGACTTTTTTTCCCCAAATTAAAAATCCTTGGTTATAAACACATTTATTGGCTTGGGGAAGAAAAAATATTTTGAAGATTTGGGCCTGAAAGGTAAATGCCTCGGAAAGGTATTTATGTGGATCAGAACGGTGATGGTAATGAAATCAGGGTCCTTGTATTCTGGATGAACTGTATGGAGTCTGTAGTGCTTTTAAAATGTTATTGAAACTCATTAAAATATTAATAAGCCTTTGAGATGAATCGGCACAAAATACAACTTTGTGGTTGTTTCAGGCTCTTTGTAGAGGTTAGCACTTAGACAGAATTGCAGTTATTTACAGCTGCTGTTTAGCCAATCTGTTGCAGACTGCTAAATGGAAAATGAAATTCATAGTTTCATAGTAGTTAGGGGTCAGAAGGGACCTAAATAGATCATCTAGTCTGACCCCCCGCCACTGGCCGGAGCACACGCTGGGATCACACGACCTCAGACAGGTGTTTATCCAACCTCTTTTTGAATTTACCCAAGGTAGGAGTGAGGACCACTTCCCTAGGAAGTTGCTTCCAGATCCTTGCCACCCTAACAGTGAAATAGTGCCTCCTAATCTCTAACTTTAACCTATTCTCCAGCAGCTTCTGGCCATTGTTCCTCATCACCCCAGGTGCTGCTGGGGGGAATAGGACCCTTCCTATTTGCTGCTGATCTCCCCTAA